ATGTGAAGGTTCAATTTCAAATACGTTTCAGATTCTACTGCATTGGTTGAAGTAATCGATACGATAATTCTTAGCGTATCACAGTGACAGTGCAACCTAATGGAACCTTCTCGAAACCTATCCCGGAGCGTAATTCGATTTGTGCCCAGCGTGACCGTGGACGTGACACGCATGCCTCTTACGTGTACTCGAGTCGGTTGACGTCGAACGATATAATTTAGAATTTGACTCGGACAAATCGAAAATAGTGTATGTAGGTTAGGAATAGGAAAAGCAGTTTATTCACAAAAACTTTTTTGACAAAGATTGACTACAAAACGCACGCCAGTAAAAAGATTGAAAATCCAATGAATCACCCGACCTGAAAGCGACTTCGACTATCTCGAACCGCTGAAGCGTGACCTCGAATCAGTAAAATCAATGCGAAATAGGTGTGGAAAGAATTCAATTTGTATCGAAAACGGCGCGAAAACATCTACGACTCGACAAACACAAACGACGAAATGGCTTTTTAAACGCGGCATTGTTTCGAAATTCACATTGTATAAAACGGTCAAGGTAGCCATAGTTTTTTTTTAGCCAATTATTCGAAAATTACTTTTTTTCGTTGTTATGTTGTTATTGTTAAATAAAGTATTACATAAATAATGATTTCCGGAAATTCAGTGGAAATTAACTTCGCTGTCGCTTTTAGGTGGGAGAAACTCGATTATGTCGAGGTTAATCATCAGTGCCGCCGCAATTTCGTCTGGCACGTCATAAAGGCCCAGACGTCGAACAATTTGCGACAAAACCGTGTGTCAAGTCGTAAATATTGCACCTACGTAGAAAGAAATTGTCTTTTCCATTTGTGAAGATCCGGGAAAAAATTAATGGTCGTCTCTCGTCACTTTCAGCCTGTTTATGCGACTGTTTGTTACCGAGTGACTATAAATATGAGACAGAATTGTCGCACCTGTTCTGTTAAATATGGTATGTCATTAGAATGACAAATTGCAACAGCGTTTGTGTAAGCTTCATTGATCTTTATTGATGTCGACGCTCTATGTACAAGGTGACATCGCTTGTTAACGGTTGAAAAAATAGCTAATTATAACGGAAATGTTATATTTCAGTATGTGATTAACATAAATATCTCTTGGAAATGACACTATTTTTTTGGATTTAATAACGCGTAGGTATATTTATTTTTATCAAACAAATCAAGGTTTCGGACATTTAAAGGTGCCTACAGATTTGTTAAATTTTTGGGCGGTCTACAAAAATACGATATCGATCGTCTGCTTCTGAAACGTTTACTCTATTTTGCCTGATCACACATTTTCATCGACAAAAAATACGATGTCGATCGTCTGCTTCTTAAAGATTTCCTCGATTTTGTCTGATCACACACGTTGACTGACAAAAAATACAATACCGATAGTCTGATTCTTAGGGTCATATTCCAGATCTCTACTCAATGCTCAAGTCAGGACTTAAGTATGATTTTAAGCACTGGAAATACGACCCTAATGGCAAGGGCTTGAGTATGATTTCTAGTGTTTTAAATCATACTCAAGTCCTGACTAGAGCATTGAGTAGAGTTCTGGAATACGACCCTTAAACTTTTAGTCGATGTTGTCTGATCACACATGTTGATCGACAGAAAATACGATGTCGATCGTCTGTTGCTTACAAATTTACGTGTTTTTTTTTTATCACACCTGTCGATCACCAAAAATCGAACTTATCTGGACATACCTTTACAGATCTCATGGTGATAAAAATGTTCGAAAAATTAGAAATGCGTTTTCATTATACCTTACGTGACATATGGGACCTGTAAAGAGATCGAAACGTTGGTTTGTTTGAAAAATCAAATATACGCGTTTAAGATCTTTGTTTTTGTTTTTATAAAAAATAAGCACACATTTGACCTCAATATTGTTAGAGCATTGATATGCAATCTTTTACATACTGGCCGGTGTGACATTGAGAGTTATTCTTTTTGAAATTTACTTTGTTACCTCGTAGAACTCTCTTCATGTCAAGTTGTGTAATTTTGTTTCTATCAAATCTCACTCTATGTAAATCTCAATGTAATTGTTTCTATCAGTGACGATGCGTGCGCACCTAAATAATGCCTATTCACTCTGGACTTGAAGAGGCCCCAAGTTATAGCGCTCAGGGAATAAGTCTGCAGGCAGCGAATTCCACTTCACAGCTGTTCGCCGTATAAATAAATATCTTTAATTTAAATTCCCTTTTGGGTAACGATTATTTCGAGTCTAATAAAAAACCGAAACCCAACACGCGTCTGAATTGACCTCCGATTCATAAGACTAGAATGGAACACAATATTAAACGACGTATTAGTGCACGTGCCCGATTAAACATTCAAACGATGCCTTCAACGTGATAGTTTGCTAGGCGGTTTAACATCGCACCATCTATTTGCGAATCGATTTGACAACGTCAATGCAATTTTAGTTGAACATCGACGTGACCAGACATTGCCTCGTGTTCATAGCTTGATGAGCAATTCGTAGAATGGAAATATTTCGAAATTATTCGAAACGATGTTGAAGTAAACAGTTCGGAAAACGGGTGCGCCAAAGTATATAACTAAATAAACTAATTTTAATTGATATAACGTCCATTTAATTTTCACTTGGACTATGTACACTTCCCATAACTTAACATCAAATATTCACATTTTATAAGAACATTTTACATGAAGCTCTTTTCATATAAGAATATTTTTTAACCGACTTCAGAAAAGGAGGACGTTCTCAATTCGACTGTATTTATTTGTATGTATGTTACGCGATAACTATGGCCTTTTTTGCCGGCGATTTGGGAACCGATTTTGATGATTCTTTTATTGTTGGAAAGGTAGTGTCCTCAGTAGTGGTCCCATTTAAATTTTAAGAAAATATTCCACCTCTAAGGGTGGCAAACTAGGGGATAAATCCGGTTTCTTGCACTTTCCAGTAACCGATTTCAATAAAACTTGCCAAATGGATGTAATTTCACAAACTTTTGAGGTCGGTATTTTTTTAGTACTCTGTACTGAAATTTTTTATAATGAATAACTGCATTCACAGAATTTTTGCCTGAATCGCATGAAATAAAAAAAAGTCTCAATATTTTATTATACTATTGTATCCAATAGTGCAATAAAATAGTGAGAGTGAGAATGTTATTATGAGCATCCACAACAACACTTTGTAAAGGACTATACTTCGTTTCAATCCATTTTGAACAAAAAGTAAACAAACAAGTCACTGGCCCAACCATAGACGGTTCAGTGATGGCCAATTTAACGCCAACTACAAATCGATTGATTAATTAATTGAATGAATCGATTTGTTCAAATGAGTCATACTAGCGGTTTTCCTCACATAATCTATATAAGCATATTTAAAATTTCAATTTAAATCCTCCTTCAAATCCTTACACTTAGATACTCGTTCGATTGCGATTGAAATGTTCGATTTAATAATCGATTACTAAACTTGAATTGATTGAACCGAATGCATAGGCAAGTCATAGAAGTATAGATGAATAATAACCTCACTTTTGGACTACCATTTTTTAAATACGATTTTACAATGCATATTTTTGGAAAAAGTGATGATATATTAAGTCGAAATCTTCGAAATATACGTGAAAGTGTTATTCGATTTATTGAGTGATTGCTTTAGAATTTTAACCAAACAGGTTTATTTATTTGTTGTTCAAAATCGATTGGAACAGACTATACACGAAGTGAATCTCAAAAGACTAAATAAATCTGTGATTGGAATAATTTCAGTACAGAGTGCTAAAAAACCGACCTCAAAAGTACGTGGAATTACATCTATTTGCCAAGTTTTTTTGAAATCGGTTACCGGAAAGTGCGCAAACCCGGATTCATCCCCTATTTCGCCACTATACGGAACTTGACACAAGAGATAATAAAAATCGGTTCTCACTACTCAAAGTATATTGAGAGAAAAACGCCGTGAATTAGAGAATAGCAAAATCAACCATTAAAATAATTGCTCCTTATTATAAAATTTAGGTGCTATTTATATAAAACCATCCAACCAGCCACTCTTAGAGGCGGATGATTTTCTTCAAAATTAAATGGGACCACTACGGAGGTACCCTCTTTCCAACATAAAGAATTAGGAATTATCGCGTAACATATATACAAAAAAAAAACATACAGTCGAAATGAGAACCTCCTCTTTTTTTTTGAAGTCGGTTAAAAAAATGGGTTTCACTTTGAGCAACTTAAACGTTAATTTATTAAAATGTATACGTCCAATAAAATTATGAGGGTTAATTTTTTTGTATTTTTACTTGGTTCGATTCGAAATTTCTTTTTTTTTTTAATTGTGTAAATGCCATTGACTTACAAATAAAATGCAGTTATTCATATTAAGAGAAATAAAAGAATATTTCTTTTAAATAAAATTAGATATCTTTAGCATTTAAAGTACTTATGGACTGCATGATATGATTCGTCTTCCCCTTTCCATGATCGACGGACTAGACGTGAGCTGGGGTTCTACCCTCATGTTGTGGATATTCACAGGATTCATAGGAAGCGTCTCGGTTCCACATTTACATGGAGAGCAGCTAGGGAGTGGAACTTACTGGTTGCGGACTTATTCCTCGCTATAACTTGAATCTCGTCAAGGCGAGAGTGAATAAGCATTATTTAGGTGTGCATCAGTGGCGAGGCGTCCATATAACTCGATTCCGGCGTGATCAAATATTATAAACTAATTTACTACATTTTATGCTCAATACTATATATATATAACTAGTGCAGTAATTTCACAAAATATAATTGAATACCATGGTACTAAAACATCGTGATATTCAATAAACATAATATTTAGAAAATAGGTTTTTAAAATAGACAATCGATAGCGTCTTTCGTTACGCTTTCTTGTCTTAAATTGGGGTATTTCGAGAACGTAAGTCTATTTATAGCGTTATTAAAATAAAAATACGTGCGTACGTACCACGAGTGCGTGGCGCACCCGTCTTTCCGCCGCGGCGTATGGCTCCCTATTATGCTGCAGGCGACCTGGAACAAGAACAAATTTGCTGATAAACAGGAAAAATACGGCCATAAAGCTAAAAATATTTGGAAGTCAGAATGGGGAAACCAAAAAGCAGTTTAGTTGTACTGATTATTTATTACCTTACGGAAAAATTATTTCAGGAACTACGAATATACTTTCGGTCGGTACAAAGTACATTTACCTAAACATCAAGTAATATATACATATAGAGTGGATAATCCCAGAATTATTAAAATTAAAAGGCAAAAATACGAAACGCCCGAAACGTCGGTTTGTTTGAAAAAACAAATATACGCGATTTAAATCCGGAAAAATAGTTTCATTCCTATGTAACTATTACATTATAACAATCGCGAAAACCTAAGAACTCGAGAACCCAAAATACTTTATTTCCTTATTGTTTTTTATTTTATATATTTGTTTTATAATACCAAGTGATGGAACGGACAAGTCGTGCGCCTGGTGGTAAGCGACACGCCTATCCAGAACAGTTGCAGTGTCACTCAAAGCTTTAAATCGCAAAAATTTTGGGGGCACCATCACTGTGCCCGTCACGCTGACACAAGTCCCATGTGCTTGTAATATCACCAGCACTCTTATCCTTCCAAACCGAAATACAGTAATGCTCACATTACAGCTTGGCGGCAGAAATAGGTAAGGTGGCAGTACTTACTTCCCCGGACGAACTCTTTCACAAGGAGCTATATAATTGCCAGTTACAAATCAAAAATATAGAACAAAATGCAATAAAACAGTTCCGCGATTTCAAAGCGAGATATTTATTATTCACTCTATGTACACATACACATACATAAGTTCCTCAAAGTAGACGGGGCAATCTGGGCCAAAATGTAATAAGTTGAGGTATTGTTTAAAAAAAGGGTTATATTTTTCTAATTAAAAATTTATAAAAATCAACCTAATCTTCAATCTGGAAAATGAGAAATCTTAAGTTAATTGAGTTAACAAATAAAATAGAACATCGATTAATGTGAATGGGTTCAAATAAATAAAAATGGAAAAATGTTATGTATCGGATGATTAATTCAATCAAAATAATTATATCCATTAAAGTTAACATATCCATATAAAATCACATAACAAAAATAAAATTTTAACATCGATTCTTATGTACTAATCGATTCATTAAAGTCGATTTGTTCATCGGTACAGTATTTTTGGTCGATGCTGACAGTGACAGCTATTGAATTATCGATCTTTCGTTTCGTACCTATTTCGTATCATTTTGTGAATTTGTGCACGTTTTGAATGTTCTTCGTTGCTTTATTCCTCTATCACGGCTTTCTACAAACAGCTGATGTTGTTTATTATGTACGAACCTTGTTATCATACCGGACTTAAAGATTCTCGCTAACTTGTTTGACTTGTCCTCGTAATTGTGAATTTGACTGCCGGCTTATTAATTGGATATGGATCGCTATTTGAAATGTGGTATAGCGACTATCCCGTAATGTTCTAGGTCGACGAGCCTTAGATGACAAGACGATACGATCTGTCATTGATTCGTCAATGGCTTGCACCACAACCTGTAAGTACTCACCTCCTATTTGTTAGCTCACCAGGGTCCATCACGCTGACTTACAGGTTTTCCTTACTATGTCTTTCTTTACCGTAACTCTTACAAATAATATTACGTTTAAAAGGTTCGTAAAGATTGTTTACATTTAATTAAATAGGTATTTAAACCAGCATTATAGTACAGTGATCATAATTTGTTGACATTAAAGCATTTCCCATCTTTTAGGAACAGCAGCGACCGTATGTGCCAAGCTTGCTGGGACTTGGCTGGAAGACCACATGTTGATGCAACAATTTGACAACAATTTGACCACGGTTACTACAAATACTTATCTCCGCTGTGGGCGCTCTCTTGTGTCACAAGTCAGTCACAACCACACACAAGTCTTCTTCACACGGACTCATCTAGTGAATTGAGAATTTATAATGTTATAAAAGAATGGATTATGCCTCAAACTGTAAGTTAAATCAGTTTACATGTTTTTTATAACTTCTTTTATTGTAAGCGAAATTAGAATTTTTAAATACTTAAATGATAATGTAGGTTTGTTGCAGGTAAAGGTAGCAAGTCGCATAATGTCATGTGATGCTGACAGAGCTGCTGTCCATATGGTTTTAGGTCCATTCAAAGGCACAAGACCTTCCCACTGAGCCTCCAAATAATAAAGTATGAAACAACCAACCTAAACCTTCTATTGTAATACGAGACTTAATGGGATTAAATATTATATCCTTGGAGTAATCGTCTTTATGATTGACATTTGATTATTAAAGCATGGATCTAGACACGTACAAAATTCCACAGCAAAGCTTACCGAGGACATGATGTTGCTATAAGATGTTCTAGATCTAGGATTACTGCATCTTGAGAGAATAGATTATATGGAAGACCTAGGCGTATATACCTACATGGATTGGCTAGAATAGTCTCATTAACTGCGCAATGAAGATCAGCTATTGGAAATAATATTGTGGAAAACGGTGAACATTTTGAACACTTGCTCCGTACCACGTAAGTGTAAATAAACTGTAAATAACTAAAAAATCAATCATTGTAAATAATTTGATTTCACATTTTTAACTACGCCAAAAACCTCAATTCTTATTAAATGATAACTAGTTTCTAAATCACAACTCTAAAAAAAATTTCAAAATCATTTTACTACGTACAAAACATTTTGATGATAGTTCAAGTAAAAAATAATTAACATAAGCTAAAACGTAAATGTGAAATCATTGTTATTGTTGCTGTCTCACTCGGCGCTCACTTGGTAGTATTCCCATTGCACTCGAAATCAAGCGTAAAGGGAATAGGTTTATTCCTATGTACACTTCAAAACACATTTGTTGATTTATTTTTTGTCCTATCCCATATCCTAATTTTATTTTAGTCTATGTTGTTAAGTTGTAACATGATTTAGTATGACATTTATGAATATGTCTCATTTTCAAATATACAGCCTGTATAAGCTATTAATTGATACCACTTTCACCTTTTTACGTCTTGACCCAAGATTGTATGAAAGCGTATCCGTCTCCTTTAGATAATAAATACATTGCATTCTGATATTTGGTGATGATGTTTATTTATTTTTTGAAGGAGAAATGATTTCATGTATGCATTGACCTATGTATGAGATTTTGTCATCGATAGATGAAGCGACAATTTAATATTTTATATTCGTATGACTATTTCATTCGGCTTTGAAGTTTACTGAAACAGGCGTCACACCTAATCTCGGCTGTAGCATAACTGAGTGGATCCTTTTGCAAATGCATAGCCGCACGTATGATATGTCAAATTATGTTGACTGTTTGATATATTTGCTTTGTTGCTTTTTTATTTATTTTATTTCATGCGTTATGGCGTTGACATAAATGCTATCTAATTCATAACTCATTTATTTGTGAAAAAACAGATTGTATAGAAGTTGACGTGTACAAAATAAGTATAATTTCAACATGTTTGTATGCCAAAAACTAGGCATGCAAACATGTTGAATGTATATTATACATTTATTCATATGCACTTCAACAGACTAAACCAGGTGTAATATGTTTTTAATAACATCACTTAATTTGATTTAACAAGTTTTATGGATCAATTTTGATGATAATAATTGAAAAATGTAACTAGATGTCAAAATAATAATAATAATAATAACAAATTGAATAACGTCAAAATAAATTTACAAATGTAAAAAACTAGAAAGAAGGAAAATTCAGACACTGAATAGTATATTTTATTAGTCAATAAGTTGTCTAACTGTTTTTTTAAATTTTTTAAAGTATTTCTCAGACCATTACAAAAATAGTGTTATACATGAAGGTAGTTTCATAAAGTTTTTACAATTTTCCACTTATTATTTCAAACCAAATCTGTTTTAGCATCCGATACATTTTTTTTGTCTTGATGTATCGCTTGCGATGAACCTGGGCATAATAAAGGAACTTGGCGAAGATTTTAATCTCGATTCCCAGGGACTTCCTTAGAGTTTTCGTCGCAATTCAGGGCAAGAAAGTTTTAAGTAACTTTTCTTAAATAAGCAGTAACTGGTTGGTACATCTAAAAAAGCCCAAAAGTTCTGGGATAATTAAAGTCACCAGCTTATTTTATAATATCGACACGGACGAATAAGTCGTGCGCCTGAAGCGACACGCCTGTTCATAACAGTTGCAGTGCTGCTAAGAGGTTTAAATCGCAAAGAGCGCAGTTGCAGCGCCTGTCTCCATGAGACATAAGTCTCATGGGCCTGTAATTTCACCAGCACTCTTACCTTTCAAAACCGGAACCAGAAATGCTCGCAATACTGCTTGGAGGAAGAAATAAGTAAGGTACGAGGGGTGGCAGAAAAGTAATCTACCTAAGCATGAAATAAAAGACAACCATGGCTACTTTCTTAAACGACTTCAAAAAAGGAGGTTCTCAATTCGACTGTGTTTTTTTTATGCATGTACGTGACAACTTCGGCAAATTTGTGAACCAATTTTGATGATTCTTTTGTTGGAAAGAGGGTACCTCAGAAGTGGCACCAGAAGAAAATATTCCACCTCGAGTGGCAAACTAGGGGATGAATGACTTCTGAGGTCGGTTTTTTTAGTACTCCGTACTGATTTTCAACATGAAATGTACATAGGCAAAGCAAATTAATGAAAAAATGACTGCCTCTGTGGCCGAACGGTTACCATGCCAGACTGCCACGCAGAGGTCCCAGGTTCGATTCCCGGGCCGGGAGAAATATTTATATGGCCTACATTTATATCTCTCGTGAGTTTGGGTGTAATTTGTGGTTGTCTATGTGTGTGTCCATAGCACCCGCGACACAGGGTTCCCCTAGTGCGGGGCTATGTTGAGTATGTGCCTTAAAAAAATAATAATAATAAAAAATGATCTTATACACTTCCTTAAAAAACGTTTAAAAAGGAAATACACTAAATGTCCGTTAAAAAAAATGTTACTCATTTTTAAATATTTTACTTTTTTCGTCCGTAATTTTGTCTATGCAAAGCGAAACGTAATAAACAAATAAGTCACTAATTTTTAAAAAAGAATAAACAATGAATACGTCGCGATAGTGGCCAGTATTAGTTTTGAATTGTAAATAGCCAAAAGCGATTACTTTTCAGTCGTCTCTCGTACTTCTCCGGACGAACTCTTTCACAGGGAGCTCTATTGATACTAAAGCTGGAGTCATTCGGACTAGCGTTTGAAATGAATAAACGATAACTAGTAATGTTAAAAGAAATGAAAATATTCCGAAAGATTTGTTAAAAGTTTAACGCTCTACTGGATAAATCCCAGTGGGTTATTTCCAAATTTTTATTCGAGATAGTCATAACTGCTGACCTTCTAACGTAATCGCAGATGTAATAAAATCTAACCTTTGCAGTGGACTGTAATATGTTCAGTTTTCTTACTATCTCCGACTCCATTTCCGAAGTCGTAACATTTGTAGCACAAGCAAGAATGTATATTTCCATATTGCAGCGTACTGAAGCCCACGAACCCTGTAAAGCAGTCAAACATTCAAATGTGTTTGTTGGAATATAGAGTTTAAAATTTTAATAGTTTTAAGGTTATCATCATCATTTCTTTTATAACTGATGTTATAAAAAATTGCTGACTGAATGAATTGAGACTGCTATGGTCAGGCGTGTCGCTTGCCACCAAGCACACGATTTGTTCGTCCCGTCCCTTTGTATCATAAAAAATAATCCTGTCTCCCAATCCTACCGTTTAAGGTACCTTATTTAATTTAATGGTTTTTGGTAACTCTGCATTCGAAATTTACGGATTCGCTGTCTTGATACCTTTTCCAATAGTGAATTTTCTCAATGTGGAAAAATTTAGTCTTACTAATCTCGAATTATTAATATAAAATCACGAAAATAGATTGCGTTTACTCCTTAAGTTTAAACAAACGAGCAAGCAGCTGAAACAGTAGCGCAAGGTACAGGAATCAAATTCGTGCCGGATGCAATTCCCAGTACGGCGTTTTGTCGGAATGCTTTAAGTGCAGCTGTTGCAAGTTAGTGCGGCTGCAAACATTTGGTCCGTTTTTTATTTCAATCATCATTTGTTGATGCCGATTTGGCATTTTATTTTGTAATGTCAGTGCCTCTACCATGAAATTACAGTGCCAGTTATCGCTAGTAGTATATACAAAATTATGAAGTAATTTACGCGGTAGCTAGCGACATCTGTCACGGTAAACTCGTGGTAGAGGCACTGTAATATAGCATCTTACTTAGTTCATTTGGGAAGATACTAGAGAAAGCTAAGATGGCACTAAGAAAAAAAAAGGTTTTTAAAAGAGCAACGAAATTAACTCAAGACCAGAACCAAATTTAGAAAAAGTTCATTTCCCAAATAGAATATATAAATATAAATACCGGGAACCGAACCTAGGACTTCCTCATCCAGTGGCCAAGTGCAAACCGTTCGGCCACCGAGGTCGTCAAATAGTATCCCAATAGTGTGTGTCATTATCATAAACCATATTTTTCTGCCATGAAACTAGTTTATAATGTAAAAACTTTTTTCGGAGATTTTCATGGACCATCAATAAGGGAAACATGTTTATTTCTGTAGAAATTGAGTTCATTTAAATTGTAAGACTTTCAGAAAGTTATTAGTACCTTTGACCGCTTTATTTGATGCACATAAATACTGATTATAGATAGCTGAAAACGCGGCCGGGAAACGACCACCAGATCGTATACCAAATTTCGCACGGTCGTAAAGGGACGCACGCGCTTGACAGAAGCCGATAGAGGCAAATCATCCGCAGCAGGAGTAGACACGAAGCGTTTCGAGGTTACACGATCCTCAGAAATGAGGGAGTTGCTAGTGAAAGAGAGATAGATGACTTTACTCAGACCCATCCCTTAAAATCATAAACACACAGAAGTCAATATTTATCTTATACAAACTTACACACCTCAAATATATGCTAAGCAGATTAACATGGGATATGTAAAACAAGTATGTATGTAAGTCTTTAAGCACTGCAGGTTAGAAACCCCTTCAGTATAGAGGCTTATAGAGCTCAATTCTCTCTATTCTATTTAAAGCTTACAGAGCTTGTGTTCTTGTAACAGTGTGGTTTGCGTTATGTTCCGATTAATTTATGTTGCCGGTTTTGTGCGCCGCCGTTTCGTAGTATTAATGACGCTATAAATCGAAATCAATTAGGAAAAGGCTTGAATAAGGCGTTTGTTAAGAAAGAAAGAAAACTGTTTATTGCACAAGAGCAGACATGTATATAACAAAAAAAAAACAAAGAATCAATAATAAAAAAATAAAAAGAATATTAAAACACAGGAAATAAAACCAACGTTTCGGGCCCTTTACAAGTCCCAAGTTGAATGAGGTGGTAATGTCATCAACCAGTTATGTCTAATATTAATGCAAACCACCCTATTTTTCACAACAGTTATAAAACTTATTAATTAAATAGGTACCTTATTTTTAAATTTTTCAACGAACTTTCCAATTTACGCTACATATGT